GGCTCTGAGGATCTACCTCAAAAGAACTCTGCCAGAAGATCAGAAGTCCTGTTCATCTCTTTCCAGCTGGGGTCCCTCGGAAACAAGGTGACATCTACCACTATAGGCAGGTGGATACGAACCCTTATTGCTACTGCTTACCAAGCACGGGGGCTGCAAACACCGAGGTCTATTACAGCACATTTTACACAAAGTGCGGCCACTTCAGCTGGGCCATGCAGGCCTCCTTGATGGAGATATGTAGGGAAGCTATGTGGTCTTCCCCCTCAACATTTGTGAGGAACTACAAATTGGATTCCTTTGCTTCTGCGAAAGCGTCATTCAGACATAGGGTGTTGTACGCTGTTCACAGGGTGGTGAACACATCTTACCAGGCATAAGATTGTGCATATATATATCCTGCCCCTCCCTGAGTTTGTAATGTTATTGGGACCGTTCTGAAGGTTATAAACCTGTTCTGTTAAAGAAATCAATAAAGTTTTTGGAACTACAACAAGGTCTAGAGTGGATGAGACATCGAGTCTGATAGAGTTCTTCATCGAAACTGGGCATTACCTGGTGACTAGGGCATGGCCTAAAGCTTATCGAACTCAGTCCAATCAATGAGAGGACGAAGTTAACCCATCCTGGATACCCCCTCCCTAATGATTGCAAGCCGCCCTGAGTCCCCTCAGGGAAAAGGGCGGCCTATAAATCCTAATAAAATACAAAAAAATACAAATACAAAAAATACTCCTCCCCCACTATGAGAATAGGCGTATCAGGTAAGTACCAACGCCGTTTCCCATCAAAGGTGGTTCCTATTTTTCTACTTGCATTTTTATATGCTTTCGAACTGCTAGGTTGGCAGAAGCTGGGACAAGTAACGGGAGCTCACTGTTATACAGTGCTAGGGATTCGAACTGCTGAACTTCCAACCTTCTGATTGACAAGCTCAGCATTCTTAGCCACTGATCCACCACGTCCCTCCATTCTAATACTTTTGCCTAAATTATTTTTTAAAAAATATTTTAATTTCTTTTAACAAATGTCCATATTGTGTTTGGTCTTCATATAAGTGTTAGATTTTCTTTTATAAACCAAACTCAAAGAATTTTGGTAATTTCTGTATTTTAGAAATTTTAGTATCAAAGTTCGTTAAAGTCCAAATCTTATCTATTTTTGAAAAGTATATATATGTCTTTTAGAAAAGTAAGCATAGTCTCTTGAATTTCTACTTTTTTCTCTTCATATATTAACCATCCTTAAATAACCATCAACTCAAAGATGGATCGATTTCTTATAAATTCACACAGTAGTAAGTTGGGCGAACAAGTTCCCCACTTTTCTTTTTCTTAAATTCCTGACCCATGGGCTATTATTCTATCATGTAAATAACAGTAATCACCTTTACAGTTTATACCACCTCATAGCACCTTATAGCTCTCTCTCTCACCTTATATGCCCAAAAACCTTTGGTCTCCCTCCTCTAACACCTAGTTCACCCTATGAGACTATTGGAGCCAGAAAGGAGGCATATGGTCAGTAAGAAATCAATACTTATGTGTGGGCTTAAATGTTTGATTCTCATTTAGATGGACCCTATGTCTTTCCCCCCTTTGATTGGGAATGGCGCCACACAGCCATTTATGTGTCCTTTTTTTCATTGGGGGAAAATATTTTTTTACCAAGTCAGCTGGGCAATTTAGAATATTTTAAATGACCTCTCTCCTCTATGATTTTTGATGGTTAAAATTGATGTCATGGGCTACATCTATTCTTGCTACATGTTCCCAAGCTAATTCTGTGATTAGCACATAATGCAGCTTCCTTGGACTTTATAACTAACTTGCTGATGGGATTATGGTGGCACTTAATCTATTATAGTTTATTTCAAGCCTTGCTGGGGTCTTTCCTCTGGTCCTAGGAAGTCTCATATATTCTGTTAACATGCTTTCTGGAATTATACTTTGCTTAATCGCTTGATTTTTTACAGACAAACAATTCATGATATATTCCCTGAAAAATTTTCAGTGGATGTAAGACTTCAGCTGTTTTCTGCCCATCAAGGAAACAGAGTAGGAAACATTGCAAGACTGAAGCAAGAGGCACAGGTCATAATAGAAAAAAATAAATCGGCCATCATTAGGAAAAGCCAATGTGCTTGATGAGATTCTCAGAGGAACTATCTAAAGGAGATCTGAGGACTCTGAACTTATTGCTCCATTGTATGCACTTATGTTGAGGCTGGATGAACTCACTGTATGAATTCATAAACTATGATTTACAGAGACCAGAGTGATTAGATTCATGACTAAACTACAGTTAAGCAATCACCTGAACGCTTAACCTTATAATTGAAACTAGCAATAACTAACAAGCAGAGGAATAAGTTAATAATTCTTAATAATTATTATGTTAATTATCTTAAGAATTATTAAGTGAAAATTGTAAAAATAAGAAAATTAGCTAAAAATAAAATTAAAGATAAGGAAACAAATTGGGAAAGAAGGGACATTTCATGAAATGCAATAGAAATATCAGTATTCTTATTCCAGTTATTATGTATCTAATCATATTTTATACTTTTATTCCACTTTCTGGGTAATTATTGTGATTCATGTGAATTTGAGGGAGATGGACCAGTCTATCAACCATTTATATTAAAAGGACAAGATATATTAGGAACGTAAGTGGAAGAAAAAAGAGATTAGTTCTTTAAAGTTCAAATAAAAGAGTAAGCCACAAACTAAACTTGAATTTATACCTATTTGAGTGTTTTTAAGAATGATGTTATATAAATAAACTCTGTTGCTATAAATTAACATGAGTTAATTATTAGATAAGGAAGCATGCTTAGGCAGTAAGTATCAGTGGGAAACTTAATTTATGCAGCTATCTTACAGCTTATTTAAATACCTGATGTAAGTTACCTTGATCTAAATTGCCACTTGGAGTTTGCAGCCCTTGTTGAATTTCCCTCCCTCTGCCACAAAAAATGTTTTCTTTTCTAGCATAATCATTAACTAGGAAATGGGTTTGTAAGCTGGTAATTTTCACAGGTGCAGATATGCTTGCACATTTGGAAAATTTCTCAAACATGAGCAGCTCTTCTCCACTTTATTTTGTTGCGCATTTGTATAATTGAAGCAATTTATAATAAATTGTTATCTCTGTCTCTGTGTCAGAATGTGTCATGGATAAGTATAATGAAGTTTAATATTAGAAATGTATTTGTAGGAATATTTAACAAGAATTATGTTTATTCTGAATTGCTTATCATAAAATTACAAATCTGCATTTAGTTTAAAACTTTATTAGATCCTTTTAAATTATTTTTTAAAAAAATATTGGTTATGTTCATCAAAAGCTAACAAGTCAATCAAAAACATACTTAGGAAGGTAGCTTGGAATAAATCATCATAATAATAAATTGACAAAATGTCCCATGTATCAGTTGCAAAAGGCCATATTGCTTGGATATGTACAGCTACACAATATGGCATTATAGATTCTTGGGAAGAATGTGGTCCATATGAAGGCCCACACCAACTAAAAAACTGGCTGCTGAGATTTCATATTGTTGTGAACAGAGAATGATAATGTGATCTCTAATAGCTTTCTATCTTAGATCTTATAAAGTTCTATCCCACTTAAGTTGTTCCTAGGTTTTCGTATTTCTCAAACCAAGCAATTGATCAACTACTGGAGATGTACTCCAGAGCAGCCTTTTTTTTTTTTTTTACTTTTTGTGTATAAAATTGATTTTCTTGTTTTCTTTTTGTGTAAAATTTCTAAGATATTTGTAAAATCAGGTGCTTCTTCGCCAGACTGTAGTTCACAACTTACAACCACAGTTGAAACCTTGTGTGAATCTTTAGGTAAGCCAGACATCATAGCTTTACCCAACGCCCGCACACCCAGTTGAGATCGTTAAATGATCTTTTGGGTTATTAAGCAGAGTCACCGAAATCGTAGCAGAATTTTCAGCCCAAGAGAGACTAGTTTGCAGCACCTCCCACCTTTTATATGACCTTTGCTGTCTGCTTGGATTTCAGCAGGGAGAATTTTCATCCCCTGCTTTGCTCTGGAGCTGAAAATCCTGCTTGGATTCTGCGATGCACCTTTTTTAGCCAGTCCCTGAAGATTAGACAGAATCCTCCGGATACTCTGCAGTGCTTGCAGTCTTCCCTGCGGCTTCCCTATTGTCTTTCTGGGAAAACTGACAAGTAAAATTGCAAATGGTGCTGACATGATTGCAGGGAAGATTGCAAATCATAATTGTATGATCACAAAGCATTTGGCACCTGGGCTAAGTGTGACTGGGTTGTTAATTACCCAGATCACAATCCTGTGACTGGAGTGGGTGCAAAGGGTGTAACTTTGGGAACAGTTGTAAGTACCTGCAGCATCTGTCATGACTTTGAATGATCACTAAACAAATGGTTCTGATTTTGAATTGTTAAGGTCAGTCATTTTTTGTAAGGAAATCTTTCATGAAATGCAAAAATTTGGCTGAAGGGAATTATATTATTAACGAAGCTCACTAAAGTCACTTTAAACTGAAAGGTGAAAGGGCAATTAGACAGCAATGAATTAAAGTAAGTTTAACAATATTGTACTATGGGGATACTATAGAATGGGTTCAATGCTGTAGAGGAGGTATTAGAAGCAAATGTTGGAAGAAGGGAGAGATCAAGGAAGATACAAGGACAGATTAAGGCAAGGACCACAATGTAGTTGATTCATTGTGAGAAAGGATAGAGGAGAGGAATAGCTGATATAAAGGGGACAGGAAAAAATGAGAGTAGGTAGTGTGATATTAACATTATATAAAATATGAAGACTTAGGCACAGAGGAATGTGGGAAAGACAAGGACAAGCATATTTGCCTAACATCTATAATGGCAAAGAAGCATTGTGACTCACAAGCATAACAATACAGTTTACTGTTAGCAGTGAATGGACTGATTATGTGAAAATATTGCAACTTATTTCTGTGAACTCTCTTTTATTTGCAGATAACATTAACCTTTCACTAGAAGTGGAATGAAGGAACTGACAATGGGAACACACTCAAGATTACACTCCTGGACAAGGTGTCTTATGGCTATTTCGAGTTGATTTATATCTGCATATTTGATGGTTTTTACATACAAAGGATTTATTTTTCTTTTGGATATACTCAAAATAGAAAATTGTTTCTTGTTGGAAACTTTTTACTTTTGAAAACTATACACCATGGGAGACATGGCCAACAACTCAGTGGCATATGGTGGTGTAAAATACACTATAAAAGATTCTAGTCATGGAGATTTTGGTATTACACTTGAAGAGCTTCGTACACTTATGGAACTACGAGCTACTGATGCTTTGCATAAAATACAAGAATGCTATGGAGATGTATATGGAATCTGTACAAGATTGAAAACTTCTCCAAATGAAGGTAAGGGTGATTGTGCATGAATTTTAAGTAAGAGAATTCTGCCTTGTATAGATACTGTAGGCCTTGTTAATTGACAGCGTTTTTATTTGTCACTTGAAGAGCCACCTGGCTTTATCTTAAATAGAATTATTTGGTACTAAATTAAGATAATTAAAAGTAGAATTTAACAAAATAAATATTTAATTGAAACTGCAAATATTTCTTGTTAGGTATAAGTCCAGAAAATATAAGTAAAATATACCACAGTTTTCTAAGATACATGCTGATACTGGCCAGGACATATTTAGTATAACAGTGAGAAAGAGAAACTGCCAGTGATGCAAGACTAGAAGACCAAAATTGGAGAATATGCAGCAGTGGCAAAATTGACAATATATGCCCATAATAGACCTATTGCTAAATTTTAGCAGGAATGGCTCTCTTATGCATAGCACAGAGCAAGAGAAATCAAGACATTTGGAATATAGTTTCTAGATAAAATTATGAGACCATGAAAAACAACAGATAAAACAAGTTAAGCAGTCATTAGCAATAAACTCAGTGTTCAGTAGCAAAAGTACAAATATTTAGGTTAACAAATTTGGAATAAATTGAAAGGGAGGAGAAAAAGCATTACTTTTTTTGTCCTTGATTTTGGGTAATATTTCATATGATGCTGTAGATTCTGATGATTCCTCCCCCCCATTGTTTTTATTGAACTATAAATAACAAACAGTATATAAATCCAAGATGCATATATAAGGGAAAAAAGCATGTTGAAAATAGAAAAAAGTACCACAAAAAGTAATAGAATTATAGTTCATTATAGTTTACTGCTTTTGAGATAAATCATAAATCAATCAAATTTGTTTAAGTTGAGGTTCCTCCTTTATTTTGACTTCATCTATGATATTTTTCTAATGTGGCAATTGAAGAGATTTTGTTAATTCACATCTCTAACATGTTATCTAGTGTTTTTCAGTGTTGTGTAATTATTTTGGCTACTAAAATTAAATAGAATATATGTTCTTCATTTTTAAGCTTGAGATTTGATCCTGTAAATAAATGTGGTAAGCCCAGCTCTGGGAAAGATTTAATTCTTTGTTGATGTTATTTATCTCCCCAAATATTTTGCCAAAAGGATATAGCTTTATCACATGATCACCACAAATGAAAAATTTATCCTTTTTTAACAATCCCTCTAACATTTGAAAGAATTATTTATTTATTTGTGTACGTTCAAATTGGATGGGAAAAGGCATTAGTAATTTTTTTAAAATTTACAGTAGTTTTTTTCCGCTTCCTTTGTGCTTTATATCTTTAACTTTTAAAAAGTTGGCTAAAAAAACTTTAAAAAATATTTTTTAACATCCTCTTATATTAGGATTAAAACAAATAGTTAAAACAAATTTGATTTACGGTTTGTTTCCCAGTGTTATAAGCTTCCAAAAAATAATTTAAGAAGCAACATACAGAACGCACATTTATCAGGCCAATAAATATATGGTATTTCCCCCCCCCCAAAAAAAATAACTTATTTTTATTTTTTAATAGTTTCTTGAGCTTTTGAAGTAAGGATAGATAAACCTGTTATTTTATGTATAACTTTTTTCAGAGACTTCAGTTAGGGAAAAAAATGAAGCATTCTATGCAAATTATTCATGCATTTTTTCAAAATGTTTTCTCCTAAAACTATGCATTTTTATATGTAAGGCCCATTGCAGTATGTGTCTTTCAGATTTGGTTACTTACTAGTAAAACTCACAGGCTGCTTAAACTTGTTATAGCTAAATTATGACCACAATTGGGGTGGAAACTTCCATTGCTAAATTATGAATTTGTTGAGTCCTCACATGACTATGCCTAATTTTATGACCTTTTTGGCAGTCATTGAGTGAATCACCATCATCATTGAGTGAATCACCATCATCACTAAGTGAATCCAGTTTCTCCCATTAACTTTTTCTTGTTTGAAGCTCTCCAGGAAGGTTACAAATTGTGATCACGTGAACATGGGACACTGCAACTATTGTAAATTCATGCCAGTTGCCAAGTACCTAAATTATGATTATGTGATGGTGGGACATTGACAGTCATAAGTATGAGGACTTGTCAAAACTCTCTGTTTTCAGCACCATCATAACTTTGAACAATTGCTAAACAAATGGTTCAGGATTACCTGTATTGTCATGTATTTAAGTATATTACTCTGTTTTTGGGAGGTGGGGGAGGAGAGGAAATAGAATGCTATTTACCCTGTGTGCACAATTGTTAGGCAAGTGAGTATTTTGACCATATCATTTTTATGCATATTTTCCACCTCCAAGCTATATAAACTTGAATGCTTAGTGGATATAAGCATATAAGGTGATGTGTATTTGTGTAATGAGAGAGGGTGTAGCCTAAGGAGCGCAACACCCTATATCCATGATGGCAAACCTATGGCACGCGTGCCACAGGTGACACACGGAGCCATATCTGAGGGGATGTGAGCCATTGCCCTATGTCATCTCTAGCGTGCATGTGTGCGCTTGCCATCTGATTTTCAGCCTTCCAGAGGGCAGGGGAAGCCATTTTTGCCCTCCCCAGGCTTCAGGAAAGCCTCTGGAGCCCGTGGATGGCGAAAAACGGGCCTATCAGAAGTTTCAAATGAATTTTCAGTAGGCCTGTTGAGCCCGTTTTTTGCCATCTACAAGCTTCAGGAGGCTTTCCTGAAGCCTAGGGAGGGTGAAAAACAGCCCAACGGGCCTACCGGATGTTCCTTTCCAAATTTCGGATAGGCCCGTTGGGCCCATTTTTCGCCATCCACAGAGGCTTTCCTGAATCCTGGGGAGGGTGAAAAATGGCCCAATGGGCCAAACAAAAGTTCATTTCTGAACATTCGATAGGCCCGTTGGGCCTGTCTTTTGCCATCCACAGGTTCCGGAGTCTTTCCTAAAGCCAGGGGAGGCGAAAAATGACCCAATGAGCCTACCAGAAGTCCGGAGGCTTCAGTGAGGCCTGCGCACATGCACGGGGCATTGCATTATGTGTGTGGGCATGCACATGCCCTTTTGGAACCCAAGCAGAAAAACGTTCACCATCACTGCCCTATATCAAGGTGTGCATAATTATTATGCAGCTTCTTTTCCTCAGGCAAAATGGGCCGGGGAAAAAAAGAGATTTAACTGAGTCTGAAAAGTCAAAAATTGTAAAAACTCCTTCAGAGGGATGCAGCACTCTTGAAATTGCTAAGATATTGGGGCGTAATCACAGAACCATCAAACATTTTGTTGCAAATAGTCAACAAGGTCACAAGAAATGCGTTGAGAAAAAAAGACGCACATTAATTGCCAAAGATTTGAGAAGAATCAAACATGAAGATAGCAGGAACCCATTATCCTCCAGTACTGTCATATTCTGGAACTGCAACCTACATGGAGTGTCCAGAAGTGAAGGTGTTCAGTGCTCAGAGACATGGCCAAGGTAAGGAAGGCTGAAACCTGACCACTACTGAACAAAACACATAAGTTGCAACTGCAAGACTGGGCCAAGAAATAACTGAAGACAGAGTTTTCAAAGATTTTATGGACTAATGAGAAGAGAGTGACTCTTAAATGACCAGATGGATGGACCTGTGTCTGGATCAGTAACGAGAACAGAGTTCCACTTCAAGTCAGACATCTGCAAGGTGGAGGTGAGGTACTGGTAAGGGCTGGTATTATTAAAGATGAGCCAGTTGGACCTTTTCAGGTTGAAGATGGACTCAAAATCAACTCCCAAACCTACTGCCAGTTTTTAGAAGACACTTTTTTAAAGCAGTGGTACAGGAAAAAGTCTGCATCTTTCAAGAAGACCATGATATTTATGCAGGACAATGCTCCATCTTATGTATCAAAGTGCTCCACTATGTGTCTTAAAGTAAAGGCCTTAAAGGTGAAAGCATAATGACATGGCCGTCTTCGTCACCTGGCCTAAAGCCTATTAAGAACTTGTGGGCCTTTCTTAAATGGGAGATTTACAGTGAAGGAAAACAGCACACTTCTCTCAACTGTGTCTGGGAGGCTGTGGTTGCTGATGAAAAAAAGGTAATCGTCAACAGATCAAGAAACTGATAGACTCCATGAATGGAACTGTTACTGAAAAGAAGGATGGCTATATTGGTCACTGATATTTTTTTTTTTTTGAAATGTCAGAAATGTTCATTTATACATTTTAAGTTGTTCGTTTATTATACTCACTTTAACAAATGCAAATAAACAAGTGAGATGGGCAAATTTTTGTTTTTCATTTAGTTGCATAATAATTGTGCACACTAATGGTTGTCCACTAATTATGCACACATTCTAAGAAAGCCAAAACCTCACTTTCACTTTCTTAAATATTCAGGTTTGAGGTTTATTAACATTTTAGATTGACTGAGAGCGCTGTAGTTGTTCAATAATAAAATTAATCCTCCAAAATACAACTTGCCTAATAATTGTGCATAGTGTATATTTTTAAAAAAGGTTTATACTAAAACATACAGTCTTCTATCTAAAACAGGTGTGTCCAACATATGGCCCATAGGCTGCATGTGGTCCTCATCAGCTAGTAAAGTGGTTCCACAAGATCATAAACATTTTGTGATTTATGTACATATACATATGTACATACATATACATATTATATATTTTACATGTGGCTCAAGAGAGTACCTCTACATTCAGCCTATGGTAACCAAAAGGTTCATGATTTAAAAGATTTATTAAGGGCTGTTTGTGTATATGAAGTTTCCAGCAACCATTGGGGAATATTTTTTGGACCACAACTCATAGCTATTCACATTTATTTGCTGCCTAATTAGAAAGGAACACACTTGGTCTCTATTTATCTGAGCCATTCATAATTTATGAGATTTGTAATGACTGTACAATGTTCTTTCAACACATGTTTAAAAGAGAAACACTCATTTTTAATAACCATTGGCCAATTTGTACATTAGGATTCTCCTACATATTTTATTGAGCTGAGTACAGGTGTTTACATATTGACTTCCAAGTGAGGCAGTCATTAACTGATTTCATTAACTGACGTGTTCTTATGGCGTTACATAAATTGGGTCTTAATTATGTTAAATAGTCAAGGTTTGAGTTGCCTAAATGGGTTTGGACTACAGTGCTGAGAATTCCCAGCCAATATCGGGCATGTAATTGGGAATTGTAATTTGGGAATCACTTCTACTGTCATTGTTTCTGTTGTGTTTAGTGTCATTAGGCAAAATTGTGAAATCCTCCCCCCCCCCCCCATATTAATACAGGTAAAGTTGAATGATTCCTTAATACTGACAGGGAAAATAAAACAGCAATACAATTCTGGGATATGTTTTTTTATTTTTTTATTTGATATTTGCAATATCCAAGTGGCTTTGTAATATACAGTTATATAAACAAATATGATTAGTACTTAAAATGGTGGACAAACTTCTGTCTGCACAGCTTTTTTAGCACAGCTTTCGAGAACAGCTTTTGTTCTCAAACTGTTGAGAACACACATATATTCTGTGCTATAATTATTTTGGAGGAAAGCGGGGTGGAGTACAATGTTAGAAGAGAATTTTCCCTTTTGAATTTTTTTTCCAGAAACGGTCAAAATCTGCCTTAAACACACACAATATATATTTTATTTCTTTTAAAAACAAAAAATAGTTATAGTTTCAATTAGCATTGAAAAAATGATACATGAAATTACCAAAAATCATTGGCAATTTTCCGAAGAAAAATCTTCCCAGCATGTGGGAATTTCCCTTTCTTGAAACATGGGAAATAAGGAAAATTAATTTGTTACTATTATTCATTTATGCTTATAATTAATTTCTTTTAAAATTGGGGGTTGTTTAGCATATACTGAATTGGTAAAATAAATAAATGTTTTTTAAAAGCGTATTTGGTTTTTATCTGGAATATATATACATACGTACATACATATATACATATGTATAATTATAACTATAGCTGGCATTAGGATTACATGAAGGGTTGTTTTGTACAAGATTTTTCTAAACACATAAAGGTTTGAATACCAAAGTTTTGAGTTTCTGATCATTCATTGATTGCTACCATGCCAGTTTTACATGTATACATGTATACATACACATGTATTCAGTGATTTGTAGCCAGTTGCTGCTACTATTTTAGAAAAGCAATCTAAAGTGTCCCGATATTACCATAGTGGCTATTTTTCTTGCAAATATGGGAATAAATAGCATGATAATAAATAAGTACAAAATAACAGATTTGCAGTATTTTAACATTTTAATAAATACAATATGAATTTTTTTCATTTTTGTTAGGAGGTGACAAAAAACTACTCTAAAACCATTTTTTTTCTTTTTACTGTTTAGGCTTAAGTGGAAATCCAGCAGACATAGAGCGGAGAGCAGCTGTATTTGGGAAGAATTTTATACCTCCTAAAAAGCCAAAAACATTTCTTCAGTTAGTATGGGAAGCACTACAGGATGTTACGTTAATAATTTTAGAAATTGCAGCCATAATATCACTGGGCCTTTCTTTTTACCAACCTCCAGGAGGAAACGAAGCATGTAAGTAATCAAATAGGTTTTCTTTATTCTTGTTTATCATGAAGTATACCAGAATGAACCTGTTAGAATTCTGTTGTAAATCCAAAATGGGTTTTGTGTTCTTAGAATTGTGAGAACTTGACAGGTTAAAGTATATTCACATTAAATTCTAGGCATTTCTTCATTTGATCAAGATATAAATTTTAATATTCATCATATTTGCACATGAATGCCTGATGGAATGACAGTAGGTTTATATAATCTTTAGTATCGCTCTTCCTTTTTCTTCTGTTTTTAAATCTAGAAAACAAGGATAATTAGAGCAACTTCACTCTGTGTTCTCAACTTAATTTCCCCAGGGTTACATAGTGTAGACAATCAAAAGAGCTCAGTTAATCTATGTTTGGGCTGGCATTCTGAGCTTTACTATAATCTAATTTCCTCAAGTATAGGATCTCTTCAGATGCTGTATTTTTCACTGGAGAGAGTTCAGGAGCAGGCCTGGATTCATGTACTCCATTCCTTACTGCTCCCGAGGACAGGTAAATATGAGTGTCTAAATAGAGGTATTAATGAAAGAAGTAGGAAACCCGATGGAGGCAGGACAAGGTTCTCTCCTTGTTAACTCTCATTCCTGACAATGTAAATGCAAAAACAGACACATTTAACAAATACCCTATGTTTACTCTTTAATCCAGGTCAACATTCAGTTATGTAGCAAACACCAGTGCAGATTGATATTCCTGGGTTATCATTTTATTAGATGAATTTCTTTTTAAAAATGCCATTCATCTATATTGAAGTCTGTTAAATGGAGCAATCAAGATATCTAAAACATGTTCTGATTTCAGAAGAGGTATTTTTCTAAACTCATATAGTATAAATGTTTATTTACCGTACTATTATTAATTGTAATAACTAAATATGGTGCTACAAAATATCAGAATTATCAGATAAAACCAGAATCTTAAAATCAACACACTATCTGAAATGGTCTAAGACAAAAATTGCATATTGTTTCAAAATCTGTCCGATTTTGGCTTTAGGTAGTAAAGCGAGAGTGTGTTTTTCTGCAGAATTCTTTCTCTGACATGTTCACTGAGTTGACTTCTGAAATACTGTCCCAAAGGTGCTTTTTCAAGAGGCAACTGGACTTTCTTTGCCTCTCTTAAAAAGCGTCTTTGGGACAATCGTGACTTGGATGACTGAGACTCTGCATAGACATTCTGAAATATGGAAATCTATTTCTTAATTGTTGGCTTACTTTTAAAGTAGCCTGGGAGCAAAGCCTCCTTTAAATATTTCAGTGTTGGGGATATACATATTCTTTATTCAGAATAGGATCAGAAAGTTTTCAGGCTAGTGGAACATGTTTCAGTTTTTATAACAAGTCTGTATAGAAAAGAGAAAGTAGTGTGTACTTAATCCCAAATTACTGAACTGCCAGCATGCTGTTTTACAATATCACTACTTTAAGAACTACTTCAGTTACCACACTGTCTTCCAGGGTAGTTATAGTTTCAACAAAAGACAACAAAACTGTATATGACTATATCAACCCATTTTGATTGAGTTACATAGCTTTATATATTCCTTCTTTAAATCTGAATCTCCTACTATGCTTCTACATGCAGTTCTTTTCAAAATTATTTTTACCTATATGAGATACAAGTGTTATATTACTTCTGATGTTTGAATGTTCATATAACCACCAGAGACTGCACTCAGTTCAGTGGCACTTAATTTTTTTATCATGAATTATAAAATGAACAAATGCTTCTTCCAGGAGCTCTTATGAAAGATAGTCTATGAAGGCTGCTACAAAGCAATGTCAGTTTCCTCTTAATTCAAAATTTGACAAGGTATATTAATATTATTTGCACAACTACCAAATATAACATTTTCTAAGCAGTACTATTTTATTGGGAGCAAAAGTCTCTGTTCAAAAGGATCATGATTGGGAAAAAACTAGTGTATTAATTTCTAAAGCATTGCTTGCCTTCCAATGGTTTCTGGCAGACTTATTTATATATCAGCTGTCTACATTCTGTATACCTTCAAGTATAATTGAATAAGATACCTTTGAGGAGCATTTCCTTTTCCTTGGTTTCTCTTAGTCCTGAATGGACTTAGGAAAATATATGTTTATGTAAAGGAAATATGAACTAGGCAATAATGAGCATCCTCCATAAATCAAGCTCTTGTTTATAAGAAACCATATGGCTACCATGTATGTCTGTGAAAAAGTTGACTCCTTTTAGGAATTAGCTGACAGGTATAGCACATCTCTGCTTTGAGTATACTTGCCATCCCTATCCAATAAAGCCCTTGGCCTTGCTGGCTGCAAGTACTGATTAAAGTCAGCCAACATCTAGAACGGGGGTGTCAAACTTGCGTCATCATGAGTTTTTTCCCCTTCACTAAACCGGGGTGGGAGTGGCCAGCACATGACACATCTGGCCCGCAGGCCGTGAGTTTGACACCCCTGATCTAGAACTAGGTACTGTAGATTGGGAAGGGTACTTTAATTGGTAGTATATGTGTTATAATATTAATAGATTCCATTTGTAAAACACTGAACAAATAATGAGTTCTTTCTGCCAGCCCAAGGGCAGCCTTTAACATTTAATTAAAAATGTAATTGGGTAAAATTTTGCTAACTAGCCAGGAAACAAGACATTGTTTCTTTTCACTTTCATTGTTTCCTTTTTATTTTTTTTTTTTTTTATTTTTTTTTTTGTTTGCATTTATTCCTTAGAAGTTAGGAGAAAGAAGCATTGTTAATATTTCTCAGTGATTGCAAGGTCTGGTCCCAGGCCAAGAGAGGATTAAGCTCCAACTTCACTTCCCCCATCCTTGGTCTTAAATTAGAATCTATGTTTGTCCTGATTGACATAAACCATATAGCTTAACTAGTATTTTATGACAGTGTGACTGGCTCTACTTGTTATTTTTTTAATCAGTTTTTTCTTTCTATCAGTTGATGATAGTGTTTCTCCTTACATTGCAATGTGTTGTCCACCCCAAAACCTGCTTATTCTTCATATTTCTGAAGCAGGAGAATTCTAAAGAGTAATGAAGAGAAAGGCTTTTGCATTAGCAGAAATTTGTTGATAGAATTTTAAATGTAGCTTGTAGCTCTTCGGGATTTTAATTCAATATCTACTGGTCCTCACAATTAATAAAGAATAAAGACCTGTAAAACTTATTGAATCACTAAAGAAACAACTTTCTTTCATTGTAATTATACTGAAAAAAGACTATATATGGTACCCAAGAAGGATTATCATCTCTGGTGGAGATGCTTGCCATGCCCTTTTTAGTTCTGCTAGTTCACCTTTTATAATAAGCTTGCTTTATTGTTCTGTACCCTTGTTCTGGAGCCTTTCCAACTAAAGAATTGGAGTTTATTATCCTTATGAGAACTTAGCCAAATGATTACTAGCATTGAAAACTGGATAGGATATATCTTTTGCGTAAGTAAATTGACTAATAACTAGCTATGTGTGTTTGTTTATGAGAAATTGTTTAATCCAAGAATTAGATTAAAGTCAGAGTATCTTTGAGTAGTCATTTTAAAATTATCTGTTTATTTGGGTTTTAATCTATTTAAGAACAGGTGTTCTGCAATTTGTGAGGACAAATTAAGTACTTTCCTATCAATTACTTTGCAAGGCTCATACAATTGCTTTGGGAGTTGCTCCCAGCTTTCTGCAGTGTAGGTATGTCTGTATATACACATAAAACCTTTTGAAGCAGACACATCACTCTAGCAAAGTGTAGTGCTGTAACCTGGATTTGAGGTACATCAATTAGAAATAGAAGAAAAATAAAGGATATGATGAAACTTATTGATTGGTTAGTTTTATTTATTTGTACATTTATTTTTATGAGACCTTGCACATACGAAGCTTTGAAGTTTACTTTAATGCCAAGGGAACAGGGTTTTAGTCCTCCGGAGTGTTAAAGACTCCTGAACGCTCCAGAGGGCAAAAAACGACCCTACGAGCAAACTGGAAGTCCATTCCTGAACTTCCCGTTTGCTCATAAGGTCGGCTTTTTTGCCCTCTAGAGCCTTCAGGGAAGCCTCTAAAACCGGTCCTACTAGCAAATCGGAAGTCCATTCCCGAACTTCCGGTTTGCTCGTGGGGCCAGTTTTTTTGCGCTCTGGAGGCTTCAGGGAAGCTCCTGAAGCCTCCGAGGGGGTGGTGTGGGAGTCTGTTTTCGCCCTCCCCAGGCTCCTATAAAGCCTCTAGAGCCTGGGGACGGTGGAAAAAGCACAGCAAAAATGGGAGGAGCGCTGGTTGTGCGCGCATGCATGCTCGGGTTGTGTGCATAGCATTATGGGTGTGGCACGCCTGCACATGACCCCCCCCCCTACGGTTCTACCACTTTTGGCACGCGAGCCAAAAAAGGTTCACCATCACTGGCCTAGGGTGAACAGCTAGGGTCCTAACAGCAGAGGCAAAATGGTAGAGGTGAATGACTGGGAGAAAAACCCTGGGGGCAAATAAGGGGCGGAGAAGGGTACAAGGAGAACAGTCCTATACCCAAGCTAAAGTGCTTTAGTTAGACCAAATTGGAATTAATGAGTTAATAAATTAAAGTATTATGGGGTTGTTTTTATTGTTTGTATATTGGGTTTTTATTTTCATAAGCCACCCAAATTCACTGAGAGTGAGTGGGTGGCCATATTAAATTTCTTAAATAAATAAATAAAACTAAAACAACAATAAAAAATTATTGAGATTAAATAAGCAGGACATTCTGAAAGTCTATGGAAACATATTTTAAGTCATGGGAGAACAGGGCTGATGCCCACTTTAAAAAGCCTTACAATGGTTGTAATACCATAGTGGCTTAACATGCTCGTACTACCTGATAAAGTGTATGTAATATGGAAACAGCTGAGGTAATTAAATTTAAATATTGAATAAGCAGATGTGTTATTGTTATTAGAACAAACTCTATATAATGAAGTAATGATTGTATGGATTAAATCATTGCAATTTTGGAATAAACCAGATCAATATAAAAACTGAATATGAAATTTGGATTATTTGTTTACTTTCTGCAGTATGTGGAACAGTATCAGTTGGAGAAGAAGAAGAAGAAGGTGAAACAGGATGGATTGAAGGAGCTGCAATTCTTCTGTCTGTCGTTTGTGTGGTATTAGTGACAGCTTTTAATGACTGGAGTAAAGAGAAGCAGTTTAGGGGATTGCAAAGCCGTATTGAACAAGAACAGAAGTTTACTGTCATCAGGGGTGGCCAGGTCATCCAGATACCTGTAGCTGACATAGTTGTTGGTGACATTGCACAAGTAAAATATGGTAAATATACCCATTTATTTTATTGTCATCTCCGTAACTTATTATTTGTTTGTTAAATATAGTTTTGGCTTCTGTTTTAGGTGACCTTTTACCAGCTGATGGTGTACTTATACAAGGTAATGACCTCAAAATTGACGAAAGCTCGCTCACTGGAGAATCTGATCTTGTTAAGAAAGTGTTGGATCGAGATCTTATGATGCTCTCAGGTGAGTGATCAAATGATAGCTAGGATCTAAGCATGAGATATTATGGAAACTGAAAAAAGTTTCCTACTTCTAGAACTAGGTTATGTGACACATTGTCTTCCTAGGTGACAGTATGGTAAGAACTAGTTCTCTTATATATTATGTATTACTTTTTTAAGTTCCTCAGGACCAAAATGATAGGTCCTAACAACAGGTAGGATTTCAGACATACAAGCATCCTTTAATGTGATTACTTTAATTAAGCATATGTTATTGTAGTATCTTCTTTTCCCATGAGATTAAATAATTTCTAGAATGCTGGTATATTAGAATAGATCACTATTGCAAATTATTGATGCTGTGGCCCTCAGTATGTTATTTTTTCTGGCCAATCTGCAATACTTAATTGTTTAATACTTCAGTAATGAAATAAATTTTCAAAGTAAAGAGTGATACACATAGTTAATATTTCAAAAAATGCAGTAGAATGGTGCAGTCCTCAAAATTTGATACAAAAATAATTCATTTCTTGATTTATATTTCATTTAGTATTATGATTCAATACTTAGATTTCTTTCACAATACAAATAAGATGTGTATGGAATGACTTTTTTTATAATGTAAGAATCATGACCTGTCATAAATATATTCTCACTCCCTATAAGTTGTTCCTATAAAAGTTTATACTCAGGATTATTTTATTTATAAATCTAATGAAAATATAAGCCACTTAGTAGAACTGAAAATTTTGGAGGTTAAATTTACATAAAACCCCCATTCTTTGTGTTAAAGTCTACATTAAGAAAAAAAATGACTATCCCATAAAATATCCTGAATAATTTCTCTCTTGATATAAAACATCTAAAGGAACTAATAAATTCATCTTGAAGTGTAAATCAGTGTAGAAGAAATAAAATCATTTTGACGATGTTTATTTCCCCCCATAGATTCATAAGAATGTTCAATGTAATTTAACATTTAAATATATTAACAATTGTTCAAGGGAGTACAGGTAGTCTTTGATTTAATCGTTTGTTTAACACTCATTCAAAGTTACAATGACGCTGAAAAAGTGACCTACGACTGGTTATCACGAAACTGTTCAGCATCCCAATTATCACGTGATGTACCCAGCAACCAGCATTCTCCAGAGTTCATATGATCACTATTTATAATCTTCCCAGGGGATTGTAAAGTCCCCTTTACCAATAAGTAAAGCCAATGGGGGAAGCAGAGTTTGCTTAATGACCACTGTAAAAAAATGTTGTAAAATTAGGCACAATTCACTTAAGGACTGCATTGTTTAGCAGTGGAAATTCCAATCCCAGTTTTGGACATATGTTGAGGACTACATGTTCTAAGACAGTGGTTCTCAACCTGTGGGTCGGGACCCCTTTGGGGGTCAAACGACCCTTTCACAGAGGTCGCCTAAGACCATTGGAAAACACATATTTTATACGGAAAACATAAAATAATTTTATGGTTGGGGGTCATCACAACATGAGGAACTGTATTAAAGGGTTGTGGCATTAGGAAGGTTGAGACCCACTGTTCTAAGATATTACTTTGGAGAATAGGCAAATACCAATAATTCACAAATTGCCATTAATATCTGTAATGTAAGCAGAAATATATTAGACTTATTCCATGATTTAACGTGTTACTTTAGATTATTTACAAATTGAGGTAAAAAGATTGGAAGTTTAACAGGAATAAGAAAATATCATCTGAATAAATAATAGTTTCTACTAAGCTACTTTGATCCCCATAATTTAATGTAATTGCCTAAAAGAAGACACCTAATAGTTCTAATTCTAAACTTTATAAAAGAGAAGATACAGATTATCCTTAGGAAATTTCAACATAGCTTAGTATAGCATAGCATAGCATAACATAAATATAGCAAAATATAGTATAATAAATATAATATAACGTTATAGGCAAATTCCTTCACTCATTAAGGTTTATATGCCATTGCTATAAAAAATAACTGTTTAATACCATTCATAATCATTCTAGCTGATGGATTTAAATATTATTTTTAACTCACCAACTCCCAAATCATGGTACATTGAAGCATTTTTCTGCATCTAAAGAAGCTTTCAGATACAAATTCGGTTTCTCGGATTCTCACCTTACTCATGGTAACTTGTTCCTTAGTCGTCTTAGGTTTGAATTCCTATAATGCAGTGCACTTGCAGTTCCCTTGAAGAACTTTTGAAAGCTGCAGCTGGTCCTGCATGCCGCAGCATTGACAATTTTTAGCATTTCTCGTTAGGCTCATGTACCACCACTGTTCTATAAGATGTTCAGGCTTACAATAAGCTTCTGGCTGCAATTCAAGATGCTGTTTATAATCTAAAAAGATGCTGTTTATAATCTAAAAAATCCTCTGTGGCATAGGGCCAGATTATTCCCAGGACTGCCTTTCTCCTCTTGTTTTACTCCTATTGTTCCGGATCCCTGCTGTAAAACAGGGTCATCTTCTCGGACCCCAAAGTCATGCTTTCTCAGTGGCAGCACCTACCCTCTGAAATAAGCCTCCTACCCCAATCCTCTGGAATATGGATAGTTCTAACGTTGTAGATTTTAGGAAGATATTGAAGACCTAGCTGTTTCCCATGAATTTGGGGTGAGGGTAAATGTGCTCTATTATTTTGATGGTGTATGGAATTATTTGGGTGTCAGTGTGGATGTGGAATTGGTTTGCTTTAATTTGTAAGCTGCCTAGAATCACTTGTGTGAGATAGGTGGCTATATATAAATCATATTAACTGCATTACGGAGCCCTGGTTGGGCCAAGAGGGGGATGTTCCCCTTAGTGAATTATGCCCACCAGGCTTCACCAGCCAAGAGCCCAGGGCAGGGGCGGCAGTGGTTATTAGGAAAAGTCTCAGACCTCAGGAAGTCACTGTGCCTCAGATAGGCGGATGTGAGTCCCTTTTTGTGA